GGTCTTAGTTTAACAAAATACTGCCCTACAAGAAAAATACTGTCACCAAGTACACCAATATATATATATATATTTAATATAAATAACGAAAAATTAAATTGATGTGTCAAACTTGCCAGAACAGAACCAGATAAGGTCCCTTCGAAGAAATATAGCTAGATATAACACCCCAAGACCAACAGAATGGAAAAGAACATGTGACGGCCCCACGGTAGTCTGCAGAGTGATCTCCCACTCCCTCCTAGTAAACAGAAAATAAGTAGAGTGAAGTTCACTCATAGTTAACAAAGTTAAAATATCAACAGTGATCTCTGATTGCTATAAAAAAAAGAGAAATAACATTTATGTTTGATTATACCTTATAGTATTTTATCCAAACAAACAGATAACTTGTTTCACACTTTTAGAATACATTGACACTACGATCTAAGAGCCAAAATATCATAATATTTTAATGCAAAATAATTACCTTAAATAACTTAAAACAGAAATATTTTACAATACAAAATGTAATTTATTTTATTACAAGTTACAGCTTTTACAGTAAGGAATATTATTTTTTAGTTCAGGTACAATGTTTCAATCACTAATCCTAGGAGAATATTGAAATGAAATATCAAATTAATGAGATATTGAGTATGCAAAAGCTGAAACTTGGACTCATAAACAATTCACCCTGAGAAGAAACTAGCTGGGAGGTCAATAAAGTGAGAGGTAACAATTGAACAAGAATCCTCTAATCATATATTTAATGATTACAATTGATGTTGAGTATGTGTAGAAGATAAGTTAATGGTTAGACTACACGTGCATAGAAATATAAGACCTGAAGCCAGATCAAAAAGGGAGGGCCATAAACCAAGAAGTCACTTCTTTGCTTGGATATTCTATTCATCATCCAGATTCAGCTCTTACAGTTTGTATTAGATTTTGGATCTGGCAGTTTGAAACCTTTTTCACAACAAGAGGATACTGATGTTATAATTAATGTTTCCTGGTCATCAATGTTTCCTATCTCCTTTGTTATTTAGATATTCCTCCATTATAGGTGGAACCTATGAGAATCTTATGAATGTTATTTTCTCGGGATTTTCAGGTAATGAATAGGAATTTCAGAGATGTTTGTTTACATATCCAGATTTACCCATTTTCTTTTCCATGTGGTGAATATGATGAACTCAAGGAATAACAAACAAAGGGTCTATAGATAACTCTCAAAAATTTGGATGAAGAAGTCATCCAGAACAGATTCGATCAATGAGTCATAAAGACCCACCTTGCTTACATCTGCTGGGCCACACTAAAAGTATGAGTAGATTCTGAAGCTTATTAGGCCTGAGCAAAAAATTGACCTTAATGAAAAATAAAAAAATAAAACAATTTTTGGGCAAATTACGCATCTACATGATCATGATACCCATCATAAATATTAATATAAAATGACATGAATACGAGGAACCATAAGAGCTAACGTAGCAACTACAATTTGCACTGCATGCTACAGGTATATTGTCTAAGTAAGGACTTCTACTAGTTATAGAAATTCTATTATTGAAGGAAATAGTTGCATAAGAAAGAAGTGGACAGCACGATTGACAACATGAAAATCTAAATCATGGCAGGAAAGCAGAGCTAATATGTGATCCCCTGATTCTTATGTTTCAAATCAAAAAGGTAAGGCTTTCAGTATTTCAAAAGTCAGTTTATCTAATTTTAAAATGTTTTTTTTTGGTAGCTCAGATGTTATAAAAACACCTCAACAGAATAAACAAAAGATTAAAGGATTACTAAAACATTAAATGAAATGATTAGTTCTGACAGGCAAAATTTGTCATTCTGACTAAACTGTGGAAATAAAACCATGTTGTTATCACTTTCTTTGGTCACTAATGACCTGTCTTAGTTGTCTATATGAATTATTGTTACAGATAGAGAGCAAACTAAATTGGGTAGTTGAATACCCCATCTTAACAGTAACAATTGGTAGATTCAGGGCAGATGGGTTGAGAGTTTTCCATTACCTTTGGCTCGATGTGAATTTTGGGAAACAAGCACACCCTCGGAAACAATACCAGCCATCTGGCAAGATCCTATAAAAGGGAAAAGAATGCTGAAAAAGAAAATGTACCTACCCTTCTCAGAGACAGTATGTATTTTCGTTGAAGAACAGAGACTGGAGGGAGACAAAATCCTACAGGTGATGAAATAGCCAGATAATGAAGATAACTAGGGATGAATGTGTACAGCATCATCCACCTGCCAGCGTGGTGGATCTTGTCGAAGGTTTGGTGAAAATGAAATGTAAGAGTGAGATAAATGATGAACCTGATACAACGAAATGTGAACAACAATCACCTTCCTGAGCACCCAAAGCTGTCGGAAGAAAGGTCCAATCTGAACAAAGGAGGAAGTAAGTGTAGTGAAAGTGATTGCAGGAAGCATTGATGGCTTAGACATCCAAGTGATGGCAATCACAGACATGGAGAAAAAAAATGGCTTCAAAGAAAGAAGGTATAAGGAACATGAAGCCAATAGCTCAACCAGAGTATATGTAAGAGCATGAAAAACCATGTCAAAGTCCCAGTCAAGCATGTGAGTAGGACTAGGAGGTTGATGAAAAAGGAAAAAACAGAATAAAGTGGAAAGGACAGGTGAAGAAAAACCTGAAAGCAATGAGAATTATGAAATGTAGTTGATAAAAGCATCTGAGAACTAGCAACAGTGAAAACTGACAATTCATGGTCAAACAACCACGTAGAAAAGATCAGAAAGTGGGCTACAAGTAGATGGTCTGGAGAAAGGGAGGCTGATGGACCAATGTAAAAAAATACACCACTTCTATTGATACACAAACAAAGTTGAAGGACGACAGAAATTGGATAAGAAAATGGCTATATGACCAGGGAGTCCAGCCCTGCAGGTAATGGACTGGACAAATCCCATATGTGAAGATGAAGGGACATTACTCCTAGGTGAAAGGGAAACATAGATTGAATAAGTGTGTAGGAATGGGGAAGAGGAAGAGGGGGCCTTGATGCCAATTGACAAAGCGGGGGAAATCAGGGTTGTGTTGGCCAAAGATGCACCATGAATGGGACCTGACACAAATGAGAAGGAGGAAGAGGATAAGCATACAAAAAAAGGTGAGATCAGTCATGGCTTAGAGTACTGACTGCCAGGGCCAAAGGATGATAACCTGGGGACCCAAAGAGAGAAAGTCTGATGTTAATGGTGGTGAAGACATTGATGAAAGGCATGTTTAACTGAGCAAACCCAATGAAAAACCTGAGGGTGGAGAAACCACTCTATGGTTAGAACACTGTCTGGCTGTGAGAGGCAATCTACCACCAAGTTTAGAGCCCTTGGCACATGACAAGATGTGAGACAAACCCAACAGGAATAAGCCCAAAACAGTGGGTCCAATGCGAGGAATCAAAGAGGCCTGGAAAGAGTAGCCTCCTTATGGTTGATATAACAAATGACTGTGACTGATCCATGAGAAGAGGATGTAAAGGGGGAAATGCCTGATGAATGGTGAGAAGTTCAATGACATTAGCATGAAGTAAATGCTCCTCCAGATTTCACACACCAAAGTCATGTACTTGTTCAAATGCCCCCCACCTCCAGCCCAACAGAGAGGCATATGCGAAAAGATGGAGATGTGGTTGAGGGGTGCCAAGGGGATTTCCCTTATGGTGTTGGCACAATCAAACCACTAAAGCTCACACTCAAGGACAGGATCCTGAGAAAGTTTCCATTGGTCCTGCAATTTCAAATGGAAGAGGTACATGGGTATGTGGCCTGAATGAATGAGTGGTACAAGGGAAGCCAGAGTTCCCAAAAGGAAAAGAACTTTGTGCACAGGGTGGCAATGTGAAACACAAATCTTGGTGACAAGGCATTCCATTATTCATAAAAAAAATAGTGAAGGCTTAGCCAGACCAAGATGGGAGATGAACAACACACCCACATGTTCCAAATGTAATACAAGTATGAGAAAAAATGTGAAAGACTCAACAAGCAGCCTCCTGCAGAATAATGCAGGTGTGAGAGAAGGAGGCTTCTTTGGAAGAGATGAGAAGAAGCTAATCATCCATGTAATAATCAAATCTCAGCCACAATCTGTGAACAAGGTGGGTGAATGACCCATGACTCAAATAAAGACATATGGAGCAGACCCAATGCCAGAAGAAAGAACATGGATTTGCAAGATCCAATCTGGGTGGACGAAACAAAGAAAATATCTGGAGAATAGGGTAATAATAATGTGTAAAAAGGTGTATTAACTGATAACCTTGATCATCCACAGTTTGGGTGAAAAGAAATACTGGAGAGAAATGAAACCCTCCAAACAGAACCAAGGGATGAGAAGAAACCAGTCAAGAAACAACAGGTCATTAACTGGACACCAGGCTCCAGTCACCTTGAAGACCACAAAAAGACAAGAGTGGTAATTAGGTGTATGGGTGAATACCCTCTAAATGTCATACTTGGCCAAGAGATCCAAGACCACATTCTTGAGGTAGTGTAAATAAAGGGGAAACAGAAGGAGGAGGAAAAGAAAAGAAAGAGAAGGTGTGAAGAGAAGTGGAGAGATAGGCTATGGGTGAGAACCTGAAGAATCCATCTGTTAGGAAACTGGAGACCAAAGACTGACAAAGAGAAACAGACAAACAACGATCCTTACATCAGGATGAGGGAGGATGGGAAGTAGGAAAAGGTTTGGGAGACGTGGATTCAGCAGGCCTATCAATAGGAACAGAATAGTGAGGGTGAGAAAGAAAAAATCATAGGAAACAAGAAGGACTGATGTTATGCCACCCCCAGCTTGGGTCTCTAATGAATCATGGCAAAGAAATGGAGCCCAATGAAGATCACAGAGCTAAGTGGAAGGAAAGCATACTGTAGCCAGGAGAGCATCCTATCCCAGTAAGTTCCAACAGCAGAGGAACCAAGTAAGAAGATATATAGCAGAAGAAGTACTAGCCAATGTGGTGAAAAGAAGAGAACACATCTCTTGAGGAAACCCATACTGAGCACGATAAAGTGCCTCAGACATTAGGTGAAGTGGTGAGAGGTAAGAAAGAAACAAAGGTAAGAAAAGTGGGCCTTAGAAAGGAAATGAAAGTTAAGGGGTCCACCTCCAAAGCAGGTAAAAAAGTCCAAATACTGGGAATTGAGGGATGGAAATGAAGAAATGTAAGCCAGGACGGTGTATAGGTGCTTATGAAATGTGTCTGCATGGACCCTAATATCAGGTGAAGGAAGGAAGACAAAGCAGTCTAAAGTATGGGTTTCACATAGTAAATTAAGGGAGAAATCAAAAGATAAAGGGGAAAAAGAAAGAAAAGAACATATTTGCAAAATCATGCCAAAGAAGAGATGAAAAAGAGTGAGGAATTTCCACCATAGACAAAGCTGTGACTAGAGCAAACCCTGTTCGGGAAGATAGCCTGTCAAAATCATCATCATTTTGATTATGTCCAAATTGGGGAGAAGGAACATTGGGTGAGTGAATGGGAGGAGAAAATCAATGTGCATGAAGGAGCCCACTACACATTAACATTGGCTGTCATGTCCTCCACAGACAATGAGCCTCCAGTAGCCCCAACAGATATACGTTCCATGCTAGGAACCTCATTACTATCACGGGACAAAGTGGATGTTATCATTATTTGAGAATTTGTAATGGGTAAGCAGGAAAAAAGAAATGTTTTTCCATTTTTTTTATTAAAGAAACCAACAAAATTTAAGTTTCGTAACTATTGCAAATCTCACATAATTCATTAATAAGTTTAAAAACACACCTGTTCTAGACAATACTGAGGAAAAGAATGAAGTTATTTTGAGCACAAGTGCTTAAGGGGAGATACTGTACAAGGAGGTTGTGTCACCCTTCTATTGGTGGAGAGTTATCATTTCATGATGATGTCATCATGCACTAGTGTAGTTTATTTTAAACACATTATTTTTGTGTGGGAGTTAGCTCAAGGCTAGTGGCATGCAGATCTCATAGGCAGCTGTATAAGGGATCAAGATAATCTGTGTGTGTGTCGAGGTAAGATATTGTCTCAGACTTTGAGGTGTGATTGGAAGCTTGTTAACGTTTGCCTTGTGAACCTTTGTAAATTACAAATCTTTGCTTATAATTTTATTGACACAGTACCAAGATATATGCTCAACTTCATCAAAATTACTTTATGAGATTCAGGATTCTCTTTTGTAACCGTAGCGATCATTTTACAAGGGAGATTGTTGCTCCAGGATTGGCTTCAGAGCATGTTGCTTTCTTAAATGTCCTGTTTTGAATTTTGTTAGCTCCCATGATGATGCACTGAAGATACCTCTTTCTAAAATATTTCTGTCCCTTGATTATACTATACTTAACAATCTTGTTGCATGAAACTTTTTCTTCCATGGTAGCATAGCAATGTTAAATGGTTAAGAATTTGCCATGAACAAATATAAGGTGCTAAAAAGATCAACTGTGGCACATCATCTGAAGCAACATGCCTCTGTATTAGCATATGCATATTGCTCCTATAAAAACACAATTAACTCTCTACAAAAAGGGTTTGTAATAACATGTCAACAAGTTTAGTAAAATTGTCTGTATCTACTAGGATTTATTGTAATCTCCAACTGCTTAAGGGAGCAAGATTCATGTACATGTGATGATAAAAGGTGCAAAGGAGATCATAAGCATACCTATCCTGAACTCCTTCTTGAACGCCAACAGCATAAATATCAGGAAGATGATTAACCCCTAATGGAAGCAGAAAATCATCTAGGTCCTTGGGTGGAAGCTGTGAGAGACAGAAAAACACTATAGACTTTCAAGATATATTGGTCTAAATGTCTCATCCCATTATTTCCTAGGATTGACAATAGGTACACTCATACTACTCCTACTCTAGAAGCAAGAATTTCCCCTTATCCTGAATATGCAACAATTTTACACCTTTCTGATAACAAAATACTCCCTTACATCTTATTTATGCTTCAATTTCTAGATACAGAATACTATTCAATTTTCTTTAAGGATATCAGTCTATTTTTACCACAAAGATACAATATCCTATAACCTGAGCACTTTTAAAAGGTGGGCCTTTCTTCTTTAGGGGTTAACTGGGAATAATCGTGTAAAGCAAAGTGCAAAATAAATTGAAGTTTGAGTGATGTCATGCAGGTCACCATGGAAATCAGAAAGTGTTTTGAGTAGCTTTCAATATATTGTAATAAGTGTTTCTCATTTCCAGTGCAATAATACCAGAAACAAGAATGTTAGGTATAAAGAAGTTAGAGATGTATTGTTTTAAAAAAGGAAAAATGATAAAGAGAAACAACACTAAGTGTTGATAAAGTACAATAAAAGTGAGGTACAAAGGTTGGTTAAAAAAGAATGTTAAACAGATATAATTAAAAAGATAACATTGAAAATTATCATAAAAAATAACAAATCTTAGAAAGATTAGGGGTAAAAATTGAGAATTCACATTAGATGCACAAAAGTCACTGATTCCAGGATCTTGATTTATTTCACAAGCTTGAGCAGAGAGATAAGAGAAGCCTATTGGATTACAACTCTAATTACTATTACTAATTGAAAGCTACTCAAAATACTTCTGGATTTCCATAGTGGTCTGCATGATGTCACTCAAACTTCACTCCATCTCACATTTTGCTCTATATGGTCATTTCCAGTTTGCCCCTGAAGAAGAAAGGTCCATCTTTCAAAAGCACACAGGTTATAGGGTATCATATCTTTGTATTAAATTAATTTCTTGAACCTACGTGTTTTTCTAACATCATGAGCCTATTTTTATCATAACTTTCCTAGAATAAAAGTTGGAGTTCAAATTATTCAGTAACACTTTTTGATACTATTTTAACTTTATGCTCACATATCTGTACATTTTACAGTGTTAATCTTACACAGATTATATATATCATTTAAAGTCCATAATAACAAAAATGCTACAAAAATTAATCTCAACAAAAAATCTGAAAAGGAATAAATGTATTCTACCTCAAAAAAGAAAATCTCAATGAATGCTTCTAAACAAGATTTGAGATAAAAGAAACACAACAATTTAGGACAATCATATAGGTAAAATGTATAAGAAAGGAAAGTCTGCTTAACATATCTTAAAATTCCAACATAATATTCATATTCATTTATCTTAGTAATCCATAAGATTTATATTATGGTACTAATTTGGAGCTTGTTAGATAAACACATCTCTAAGTCAATGATGATTATTTATTGAATATAAAAGAGGCAAGTATAAATTCATTGCCAAAAAAATCATAAACTTCTTTCCTCTCCTGAAAATAAATTATTTCAATAAGTAACCCAACTATAAATTCAGTAGCAAGTGATAGGAATAAATATGTAGATACAAGTCACATCAGCACTAGTCAGTGAATTACTTTAGCACTATCCAGCTCCACAGTCAGTCAATAACTCATATTCAAATCATCAGTCTATTCTAGAGGGCCTGGCATGGCCTTGTGGTTAGGGAGTTCGACTCGCAATCTGTGGGTCATGGATTCGAATCCCTGTCACACCAAACATGCTCGCCCTTTCATCTGTGGAGGCATTATAATGTGATGGTCAATACCACCATTCATTGGTAAAGAGTAGCTCAAGAATTGGTGGTGGGTGGTGTTGACTAGCTGCCTTCCCTCTAGTCTATCCCTGCTAAATTAGGGACAGCTAGTGCAGATAGCCTTCATGTAGTTTTGTGTGAAATTCAAACCAAACTATTGTAGTGTTAAAATATGCAAGTATTTTTACATGTCAGGAAACTAGTAGGAAAAATGGTTTAGGCATAAGTACAGAGAACTGGGTATGTTATATTGAAATCATTTTGAATATGCAACTCAGCAAATAACGTGACTACCAAAACCAATATAAAGTTTTGATGGAATGACAATTATCAACACTACATCTTGACATTTTTTTGGTATTTGTAGGTAGTTTGATGTCACTGCTTTTGGAAAAGGTATGTAACAAAACTTTCTGATGCAAATATTCATACATTAGATCATAAAGATATTTTCAGAGCAGGAACTTCTAAAACTTCTTTGCACTTAATGGCATTGAAAAAACAAAGGATTAGGGATCAACTTGAAGCTCCAGCAACATCCAGAAAAAGATCTGCAACAAGTTATACTCCAGCCATACTAAGCAAGGTGCAGCATCTTGTAACAGGTGAAAATCCATTAACACAAAAGGTATGTGTCAAAATCTGTCCACTTGGCTATATGTAAAATTTGCTTCTACAACATATGCATTCAACTGTTGCATACCCAAAGCAGCTGGAAAAAGAAATGGGTATTCGTGCTATTCCATACAAAGACATACTAGTCAAGTTGCTTGATGCAACACCTTTGGATTTCTGTGTGCTTGGAAACTGTCATCCTTGAAATTTACATAGATCATAGAGACGTAGAAGGGTGTAGGGGTGTGCTATAGACATGACAGTCTTACAGTGAGGCCTTTTGCAATGGAAACTACACTATATGCCTATTGTTAACATGCAAGGTTGCCAAACAGGAATAACCAGATGTGGCTACATGGACTGTAACAGGGTGGTGAGGCTCTAAAATATTTTTAATATAAGGTATGTTACCTCTGTATACTAACTGAAATTAAACTTAATAATAAAATGTTAAATCTATATAATGTTTCCATTCCAGTGCTGTGGTAGAAGGAAGTACAAAACAAAGGAATAACTCAGTTGTCCTATAGCAGAAGCTGACCTATTGTTTGTTTTGAATTTCACGAAAAGCTACACGAGGGCTATCTGCACTAGCCATCCCTAATTTAGGAGTGTACGACTAGAGGGAAGGCAGCTAGTCATCACCATCCACCGCCAACTCTTGGGCTACTCTTTTACCAACGAATAGTGGGATTGACCGTCACATTATAATGCCCCCACGGTTGAAAGGGCGAGCATGTTTGGTGTGACAGGGATTCGAACCCGCGATCCTCAGATTGTGAGTCAAGCGCCCTAACCACCTAGCCATGCCGAGCCAACTGACCTATTGAGAAAAGCAGTAGGATTACAGTGGTAAAAGCTTAACAGAGCTAAGTAAATGTAGTAGAATGATAAATCATAACCTGAGGGTACAAAGAAAAAAAAATTGAAAGTATTCTATTTAATATAGTTCACTGATATTTCCAATTTCAATTAAAGCATACTCATTTTCTGACTAAGAGAGGATTTACTACTGTTAATAACAAGATATTCAAGTTGACACACTTGGAAATTTTCTGGGATGTTTATTAGAGTAAAAAAATCTCTGAAATAAGCATAACGTTGTTTTTTTTTCAACTAGCAGTTGGCACTACCATTGGGGTTGGGCTTCTTCACAGTATTCACTAATTTGACTACAAACAAAGTCTTTGAGTGGTAGATCTAATTATCCCTGGTTGAATCTTAAGCACTTGAACTCATTAATCACTAAAACAATATTGAAGTTTATGAGGTTCAACTAGGAATACACTCACTTTACCATAGAAGATTGCAACTGCAGCAATGAGCATTGTACCTGATGATGACAAAACCTTGTCGAAACGTTGTACATTTGCTGTTATGTTAAACTTATATTAAGTATTAAATATTACCCATTCAAGCCGTCTCCAGCCATTATTGTAAGATTAAAATGTTTTTCTTAATTTGGGGCCACTCCTCTCTCTCTGTCACATTGCAAAAGATTTAAAAATGGAATACCTAGCTATGTGTATTTTTTGTAATCAACAAAAACTGATTATTATTTAGTTATTAAACTTAAACCCAAATAGACCGATGATCACCTTAATCACCACAGTTCTTCCTGAAAAATGGCATTCTCTTCTTCTTTCTCTCCAAAGAACTTTTGCCTAAAAATTAACTCTAAATAATATTGCAGCAAAAGTTAAGCAATCCACCACGTAAACACCAAGAATAACTTATTGAACTGTTGGCTGCAACGAGTATGACTGCGAGTCAAATGACAAACCCCTGGAGTAAGGAACAGGTAAATGCTGGGAGGGTGAAGGATAGGAAACAGGTATAGTGTAAGGTATGGGAGCAGGCTGAGACAAACAAGCAACCAAAGAAGAAAGGGTTGAGTGTTGCCTTGCAGATTCCATATGTGACTCCAAAGATTCAGAAATATCTCCAAAAATAGACTTATGTAGAAAAAGAGCCATCCACAGGTCATGAAGATATGTGGAAAGGAAACATGTAAAGTGAAGTCAAAGGCAATAAAATTGGGCTTGGAATAAACTCACAGGATTCACAAGATCTGCCTCCCATGAGGGCGAATATGACTCCAATTGCTGGAAGTCAAGAAAAGGATCAAAGACATGAAAGTAAGCCAACATACAGTGATACGAAGCCCGTAGCAGATGAAAAGGAATGCTGGTACCAGCCCTCAATTGAGAAATGAAGTGCACAGCATGTACTCTAGCATCAGGAGAAGGAAGGAAGACAAGGTAATCAGACAATGGGGCAGCATGTAACTTTTAAGGGACAGGATCATACGAAACTAGGGATACAAAACAAATGTAACAAATCTGAGAAAACATATCCATAAAGGCTCAGATAGGCCTAGTAGATTCTACAGAAGAGGTAAAGGCATTGAAAAAACTGTCAAGATTCTCCTAATCATGAACAGGTACTACAGGGACAGAAGGATCTTGGAAAATGTTGGGAAAAGAGAGACAAGACATGTAAAATTCAAACTCCCTACGAATGATGGCCAAAAAATTCCCAGCTAAGACCCCCACACATGAAGATTGTGTCACGACAATCAAAGTAATGCTAACTATAGCTGAAGTTGTGACATGAAATTCCGAGTTCATAATCGACTGTGAGAAAAGCAAGAAAAAAATAGTAAAAACTTGAAAGCATTACTTTGAAAAAGAGATAAAAAAATTTGTGATGCATGAAACATCTGCACACGACTACTGCCTAATAGGAGGAGTCATGTGCATCAAGAGGGTGTGTCGCACACCTACTGGTGGATGGTTGTCTCATGATGATTTGCATACAACGATGCAATGAACCATGTTGATCGTGGGGTAGGTGGGAGTTTCAAGGCTTGTGGCAAGTGAAAACATTTTGCACATAGATTAGCAGCACTGAACATAAATAGCTATTATGTGAGAATAGGTAAGGTATCATATCAGAATAAATCATAAATACTACTTTTTTTTAGTTATCTATAACTTGCCTCCAAGGATTTGTATGTCTGCTACACATCCATTGTAACTTCAGGCCCACCCAACATTTTTTACCTGGCTACACTATTGGATCACAGCAAGATATACTTTAGGTTTTATCATTTATAACATATATGAAATTATTTGTGATATTTTTACTGTTCACGAAAGTCTCTGTACAAAACTATTTAAAAAGATACATTGAAAATTAACATGAAATTTCTGCTACAGGACTCCCAAAAATGTTTTTTTTAAACTTTTACTTATACACTAGCCTACCCTATAGTTTTGTTACAACTGAACAGCTAATTAATTCAAAAAATTTAATAAAAACAACTTCAATGAAAATTACCAGAATTAAAATACACATCTCACTTTAAATTTTGTATTACATATACTTTCCAAGATATTTAGCTAGTTTCATCACATTATGTTTTTAGCTCTCATATTTATATTTAAATCCCAACTTTTCAGATTGTTTCTTTGTTTTTGAATATTCACAAAAAATCTACTCAAGGGCTATCTGCATTAGCCATTTCTAATTTTGAAATGACTAGAGGAAAAGCAGCTTGTCAACATCACCTACCACTAATTCTTAAGCTACTCTTGTCTGACTAAATAATGGGAGTTAGCCATCATCTTTATAACATCTATATTCCCAAAGTGCAGAGAGTGATTTTATTTTTCTCAGTAATAGCATGTGAATGCTGGATCTGCAACTGCACAGTCCACCTTGTTAATCAATGGGGACCATACTCTGAACTAACTTCTTAGAAACAGTGTGATTTGACTGATTTATTTTAGTACAAATATATAAATATCTATATGTAGACACACACACATGTATGCATGAATTTTGACTACTATAATAAAAGTGAATTTTTAGCATAAATCACAGACATAAGTGTATATAACATGGGTCATTTGATTCTTCAAAGTTGACCTTAAAAACCTACCTGTTAGAAAAAAAAGTGAAAATCTGAATCCACCCTTTCCTTTTTTTTTAGAAATCATCTATTCATTGTTAACAACGTATTCTATAAGCTAATCAAAATGTATAATAATGTATTTCTCCACATATCTATAGTGTAATGTGTCCTCTCACCTGGCTATTCATATTCCAAGTTCCAACAAACACAGATATTTTCTGATCAGGAAAATAGCGTAAAAGTTCAGAGAGACCCAAAAGTGATCCATGACTCCCAACTGTCCCTACCACATAACATCTGTAATATTCAAAATTAAACAAAGTTTTTTTTTATTTTTGGAATAATTTTACACACGCAACCAATAACATACCAACACTCCAAGACTAATATAATAAATTAGAAGCACAAATGCATTAAGAAAATAAAAAAATGATATGGTGTTTTCACTGTCATCTGAATAGAGCCAAAACTTTGTAAGGAATTTGAAGTTACTTTTATCTTAAAATTTCTGTTTACACATAATATGAATTTTCAGTAGTTACATGTATGTTTTTCATCAAATAGAATTATATGTTTTTACATAACAAAAATGCACATAAAATATGTTTATATTTTTTTTATCTATAAGCATAAAATAGGAACCTAAGATGTGATATCACAGTTTTCAGAAAATTTTGGTGTTTGAGAACCAAATCAGTTGTTGGCAAAAGGGGGTTTCAACATTTAAACACAATTTTTTTCTAAAACATACTTATGTTCCGTATTATATGTACTCTACAGGGATGAGGAGAACAAATGGAACTTTTGGTTGATCCTAGGTCCCAGCCCATAAAGACTTGGAATCTGGGGACCATCAGAGGAACTTATCTTTGGTACATTTTAGTCCATTTTGGAGACTAGATATTCACATTATTCACTGCTAGGATGATCAATAAACACTGGACTTTTGCAAAAGTTTACTACTTTAACTGATGTTCCAATGAACAAAATTACAGACCAGTTAACATACAAACTGGTCACTTCATGAAATATCTAGACATATATATATATATATATAATTGCAATAATTAAATGAGTTAAATATAACATTTTTAGAATTAAAATGAATTTGAAACAGGTATGTACCTCTGGAATACTGAAAGCCTTTCCTTTGTGAATTTGAGCTAATGTTGTCAAGAAAACTCGTAACTAAAAGTTTACTGAATGTCATTTATGCATTGCAAAGCATGCATCACTTACCCATAATTTTCCACTCTTCCATCTTCCACATGACTTATTGCTTAAGTGTCAGGTGATCTTACATAATTTCTGCTTTCTCACAATAATTTATATTTTATTAAAAGTTGCACTCATGATGAAATCTGACTTATGGGGAGGCAGGAGGGAAGGTATTTCAAAGAACTTGTTTTAAATTGATTTTAATTTTTCAAATATAAAATTCAAGTCAGTTAGACTTACCTCTGAAATAATGAAAGTTAGAAAAAACACAAAGTGGGAAACAATTAATATGAAACAAAACCAACATTATAAATCTACAAGCTAAAAAGCAGTCTAGATAATAATCTAGACTACATGAAATATGTAGCCAAGCAGTGCCTAAGTAGAATTCAGAACTGGATTCTTGGGAGAAGAAGTGGGGTAAACCAGCCTCATAAAAAGACTGGACTTAAAGGACACTCAAACAGAAGACTTTCTTCTCAGCAAGGAACCTCTTTGCCTATCAGGCCCTTTAATTCAGACAAAGGAGTCAGTTTTGTAAGAGGTAATGGTATACTGAACCTGTGCAGCCAACAATGGGACACAGATGTTGGGATAAATAGGTAGGAGGAATAACATATGTTTCTGCAGTTGAAGGTTCTTGAGAGAAGACATATTCCAGAAGCAGTAGTTCCTCTTCATCCACATTCAAAATGGCCAATGAGTCAAACAACCAGCCAAATTAGTGGGCATTCCGAGAGAACTGAAGAAACATCCATGCAATCTCTCGGGATGGGCTCTAAAACATGAGTACAGGAAGATATGGAGTATTATGTATGTTTGTGAATGAACCTCTGACTGTTCTATTAACTTTTTTTATATTCTGAATTTGTATTCATTATGACAATTTTGGTTAATAAAGGGACATGATAATGTTCACAATGGCAGATAATGCATTAGATCAGTAAAACACAAAAGTTGGTTCTAATTTCTTATTTTATGAAACTTGCTGAACAAAACCTTAGACATCTAAGTACAAAGATGAC